TCACTCTCTCTCTCTGTCAAATAAATAAATAAATCTTTAAAAATAAATAAATAAATTGGCAAAGTCATCTTACTGGAAAATGTGTATTTATTCTGCTCCTATTTTGATTAGGAAGGGATAGTTTTCATGTAGTGTGCTTTTACTCTAAGAATTATTTTCTTGAAGACTACAAAAAGATCTTTATCCAAGATGTCTTCCTGTTTTTAAAACCCTTCACAAGGCTCCCTTTCCTCCAAACCCTTCCTGATGCAGATTATAAAAACATTTATAAATAATGAGGAAGTAACAATTATATTTACACAGTAAGAGAAAAAATCAAAATCATTTAAAAGATATATTCTAAGAAAGTTTTATATAGATAACACTTTAAAAAGAAAATTAGGGCGCCTGGGTGGCTCAGTTGGTTAAGCGACTGCCTTCGGCTCAGTCATGATCCTGGAGTCCTGGGATCGAGTCCCGCATTGGGCTCCCCGCTCAGCGGGCAATCTGCTTCTCCCTCTGACCCTCTCCCCTCTCATGCTCTCTCTCTCTCTTGTTCTTTCTCTCAAATAAATAAATAAAATCTTTAAAAAAAAAATAAAAAGAAAATTATACTTTAAAAATGTATCAAGGGAGCTTGCTCTTTAAAGTTATTTTCATGTAAATGGTTTTATAAAACAAAGAATAATTTCATATAAATGACTATTCTTTTCCTATATTTTGTTATACAGTGTTTGTTTGAATTGAATTATGCCTTCACAGGCAGTAAAGTTTTCTAAGCATCTCCTTCTTTTAAAGGAAATACAAAAAGAATTTGGAGCCTAAGTACATTTTATATAAAGTCCTAAACATTTTACACATAATTGCAACAGAATGCCAATGTTCAATCTGCCATTATCTTGATGACTTTGAAACAGAGTGCCTGTGATCCTTTGTTATAATTTTGCTTTGTAATCTAATGCCATTAGCCAGGTCATCTCTAACAGGGATCCTCTGAATTGATTAATAGCATCTCATTCAACTAGTTGTTCAATCTAAAAATATTGGTGTCATCTTTAAATCCTGCTTCCTTCTTATAATTCATATCTAATTAGTTACTGAGTCTTGTAAATTGTATATATATATATATATATATATATATATATATATTTCAGTTCTCTACCTTCCTCTTTTTTCCAATTGCCACTGTCCTAATTAAAGCCATATGGCCTTTCTGGTCTATAGCAATAATGCCTTAACTGGTTTCCTATAACCATTCCTCCTGTCCTTCAATCTTTCCTTCCTTCACACTGTTGTCAATAATAACTTCTAAGACATGCATGTGTTTGGTCATTCCCCCATTTAAATAAATCAGTGTCTTTCTCTTAATTGCCATAGAAAACCTTAAAATTTCTTGAAGTGCCACCCAACTAACTTTGCAATTATTCCTTAGAGACCTGGGTTGTCTACTGCTCCTCTCCCCCCATTCCAAACTGTCCACATTGCCATCAACATGTCCATTCACTTCCCCAAATTTTCATATCTTTTTCCTTTTTCTGTTTCCTCTATCTGAATTCCCCAACAGTCTGTCTAATGAAATTTTTAAATATTTGGTCCAAATTTTAACTTTTTGTAATGTCTTCTCCAGACCTCTGCTTTTTGGTACCTCCATATTTCTTTTTCAGGCCTGTATGTCAACATTTGATGTGCTGAATACCTAGAAAGCATGAATCCACCCTGTAAAAGAATAGCTCTTTGAAGGCAAGAGTGTTGCTGTTTCAAATATTAAATGGTCATATTCATTATAAAGTCAAGTATGATGTTTTGTACCCTGGGAGCCTTTGAACAGTTAAGTATTTCTGATATATTTTTTAAAAAGTTCTTAATTACAGTCCCTTCAACAGTGGTGTTGGGAAAATTGGACAGCTACATGCAAAAGAGTGAAACTGGATCACTTTCTTATACCTTACACAAATAAACTCAAAATGGATGAAAGACTTAAATGTGAGACCTGAAACCATAAAAATCCTAGAAGAGAGCACAGGTAATAATTCTTTGGCATTGGTCATAGCAACATTTTTCTAGATATGTCTCCCAAGGCAAGGGAAACAAAAGTAAAATTAAACTATCTGAACTATATCAAAATAAAAAGTTTTTGCACAGCAAATAATTAGCAAAACAAAAAGACAACCTACTGAATGGTAGAAGATATTTGCAAATGACATACCTGATAAGGGGTTAATTTCCAAAACATAAAGAACTTAATATGACTCAACACCAAAAAAACAAATAATGGGCAGAAGACATGAACAGACATTTTTCCAAAGAAGACAAATGGCCAACAGACACATGAAAAGATGCTTAGCATCACTCATCATCAGATAAATGCAAATGAAAGCCACAATAAAATATCATCTCACACTTGTCAGAATGGCTAAAATCAGAAACACAAGAAACAACAGGTGTTGGCGAGGATGTAGAGAAAAAGAAACCCTTGTGCTCTGTTGGTGGGAATGCAAATTGGTGTAGCCACTTAAAAATAGAAATACCACATGATCCAGTAATTCTACTACTGGGTATTTACTCAAAGAATATGAAAACACTAATTTGAAAAGATATATGCACCCTTGTGTTTATAGTAGCCTTAATTAAAATAACCAAGAAGCAACTCAAGTATCCAATGGTAGATGAATGGATAAAAAAGGTGTGGTATAAACATACAATGAAATATTACTCAGCCATAAAAAATAATGAAATCTTGCCATTTGCAACAACATGACAGATCTAGAAGGTAAAATGCTCAGCAAAATAGGTCAGTATGAGAAAGACAAGTGCCATATGATTTCACTTATATGTGGAATTTAAGAAACAAAACAAACAAAGGAAAAGAGACCAAAAAAACAGACTCTTAACTATAGAGAACAAACTGGTGGTTACCAGAGGAAGGTGGGTGGGGGATGGGTGAGACAGGTGAAGGGGATTAAGAGCACACTTACCATAATGAACACTGAGGAATGTATAGAATTGTCGAATCACTATATTGTATGCCTGAAACTAATATAACACTGTACATTAATTACAGTGGAATAAAAAATAAATAAAAATAATTTTTAAAAAGTGCTTCATTACTTAATTATTTACCATTCAGTTGATGTCTCTCAAATTCAGAAACTTATTTCTCAATTGGGACATAATGTCTATATAGCTTTTAAGAGGCACTTTTGGAGCATTAATATTCTGGTTACCTAACGTGAGGTTTAATTCTGTAGTCAGACTTAAATTAAAATAGCACTGTTCTAGCCCTCTCAGTCTCTATAATCATATAAGACAGAATAACATGGCTGGAATCTGGATTTCAAATCTGACGCAATAAAACCTATATATCCTTCAAAATTTGGGTTACCCTGCCAGTTTTATTAGTTCCTTAAATTTAGTTAGGAGCTTCCCATTTTAAAAAGCAGTTAAAATATTATTAAATAGGAATTTCAAGTATATCATCTAGGCATACAAAGAGTGTAGTAGTTATTTCCTATTTTATGCTTTATTTCATATTTTGTTCTTTTAGTAGATCATATTTGTTGGAATTTTTATAAATATTATATTGCATAAAACTTATATAATAATTTTAAACACTACTTTCCAAGGTTAGAAATAATATGCATAATAGAAAAATCTTATCTACATTGTTCTGTAACTTGAAAAGTTGCTTCAAGTTATACATTTATAAAAAGAAGAAAAAAGAAAAGAAAAGAAGGCCTTGAAAAAAAATGAAAAAAATTATACATTTTCCAATTAGAAAGTGGAGTTGGAAATACTGCTTTTCCTGAAATGAACAATTTATTTTCAGACACGAAAGACTTTTATTTTTATGAAGGTTTTTGGTCAAATTAAAAGATCAATAGATACTGCTACCTTATATGTCAGGCTCTCAGAGATTAACTTATTTTCTTTAGCACTATATTTCTTTGTTGGAAAAATTAGTGAAAATATCATCAATAAAGTAATATAGAGCATTTCTACAGTGCAAATATAATAAGGGCATAATATGTTTAATTCATAATATTAAACTTGCATCTCTTTTGGAGTAATTGAAGACAGTGAAGTTTCAAAACAGTCTAATAGAAAATGAAATAAAAGGGAACTAAATAATGGATTTGCCTCTTCTACAATAATGTGCGAGGTTAGAGAAAGAGGAGAGGATATAAACCTCTCCTCGAATAAGTTTACTGATTTACTTTTCACTGCAGGTGACTGTCAAATGAGTCAATGGTGAAGGTTTTGTTTGAAAAATAAGAGAATATTGTATAGTTTTACAAATTATTAGCTTTCAGATAGCTGAAGAAAGACTCTGAGATTGAAATCCTTGAAACAATAACCAAAAAGGTCAATGGAATGAACTGGTTTTGGGGAATTCAGAAATGCTTCAACTATTCATGAGTTAAGTTTAGATCTATAACCTACAGATGATAGTTTGGTTCTAAAGTTTTAGCCTTTTTTTCCTGTTCCCATTCTCCCCAAGTATCATTCAGAAAAAAAGTTTAGAGTGTCCTTATATATCCCCAGAGAAACCTATCTTGTTCATTTGCAAGTATGATCAGGTCATTCCATAACATTTGCTGTGAGGAAAAAAAAAAGTCATTTCATAACCATTGGTTCTCACTAGCACTGACTTAATTGACTCACCATTGGCCTATACAGAACTCCATTTAAAAGAGATAATTCTTAAGCATCAAGAATACCTCAGGCAAAGGCAGATTTGTTGTGAGGGCAATCAAGACTTGGACCTCAAGCCTGATAGGAAAGTCCCAGTACAATGGAAGAAAGAAAAAAAACAGTCAAATATAAGAAGGTTTTTGTTGTTGTTTTGTTTTTTTGACCAGACACTCAGATAAAGCAAATACTTCTCAACTAAATGATGATGTTAAATTTGGAAAATGACAAGTGTGAGCAGAAAATTAGGAAAACAGAAACAGAATTATTCTTATAATATTAAAAACAATACAAGTTAACAATCTATATTGGAAAAGGACACGTAAACTTACAGTTGTTGTATAAGCAGCTTCTGGATCATCTTCCAGCACCCGGGAGAGACCAAAATCAGAAACTTTGCATACTAAGTTGCTGTTGACCAATATATTCCTAGCTGCTAGATCACGATGAACATAACCCATATCAGAAAGATACTTCATTCCAGATGCAATGCCTCGGAGCATACCGACCAACTGGATGACAGTGAAATGGCCATCATGTTTCTGAAAGAGAATCACAATTGTTTACATTAACTTATTTTAATGTAGCATGTGTGCGTGTGGGCATGCACATGTGTGTGTGTAGCATTAAGGAAAACCTTGGAATTTATTTTACTGGATCCAATGAATACAAGCATCAAATTTGCTGACCGTGAAATGTAAGAATTTTTTGACATTTAAAGGAAAGGAAAATCTAGCTGGAAGTGATGAAGGAGAACAAACAAAGGATAGAAGAGAACCAACCAAATGAACTTCCAGAAAGACTGATTTCAAAAACTTTAAGTAACAAGAGGGACCTATGTCAAATTAGGTAGCAGCAATGACTACCAAGAGAACAGAATTCACTTTCCATAATTGTGACTGATGCACCAGCTGTACAGGTGGGCAGAAGGACAGCAAAAGCTAGGATTGAATAAAAGCTGTGTAATAACTTGAAAGGTGAAAAACGATTACTCAGGAAAAAGAGGACTTGTTTGCATAAACAAGAAACAAGTTTAGGGAAGCTATAAGAAAGAGAGAAAAAAATACATGCAAACAGAAAATAACTAGATTTTTCCATTCTTTCATTATATTTAGAGCAAATAGAAAGGAAGTTGTTGGCAACTGACTGAAAACAGGACTATTTTAGCTCCCAGTTGGAAAGATTAAGTGAAATCATATGAATAACAAGCCAGGCACAGCACTGGTATGCAGCTCAATCCCTTGATTGCTTATTCTTCTCATCTTGATTTAAAAATAACATTTTTTAAAGGAAAAAATTCAGTTGTCATCTATGCAAGATGTGTGCACCAATAAGGCCAAACAGCACCTAAAAATTAGAGAAAAATAAAATAAAAATATTTCAAGTTTGAAAAATAATGCATATTACTCTACATAGTTATTTGGGGATAGTTGTCTCCAAAGGAGTTACAGAGAAACATGAAAGATTCTCGAGTTGGTTTTATACTCTAGGTAACATTTATTTATGAATGTTATTAAAATGAATATCTAGCAAAAGACTATTGAGCTATATTACCTTATACAGTGTGGTAGATGCATAAATAAGAGTTATCTTAAAATTTGCAAAGTTATAGCAGTTTTCATGGATAGCTGATTTAAAACTACAGCATGGGTTAAATACAGGGGTGATCTGACTGTATCACAGTGACACAGTATCCTATACAATGATGATTCACTGGTCAGTTAAATGAATAAGCTTGTACTACAAATGAAATAAACTTTGTCTTTATATCAACTTATCTCCCTGATAACTCTCTGATAATATCTCCCAACTCAACTGCAGAGTAAGGAAAAGAACCCCCTCTTAAAAGAAACATTCTAGAGCAAGAGTATCCATTTAAGCAGGCTCTTCTGTATAATTAATGTATAAAAGATAACCTAGCAAAGAAAATCTTTGGTGTTATTAGCTCTTTATGTTTCCAATCCATCTTCCTAGACAGGGTACTATGAGATGAAATCTGCCTCTTCTATCATGTACCCTACCTACCTCTCCTCTATTAGGACTCTAAGAACCTTTCAGTAGAATTCAAAGCATAAATTCTTTTGGCCTAGAAAGGATTACACTAAATTTAAAGAGGTGGCTTTTTTACCTATTAGAAATGAAGTTGCCTGGTATCACAGTTCTCATCAATGCAGAATTTCTGCATGGTAGGAAATGTTAATGGACCATCTGAAAACTAAGGAATGCCTCAGTTTTCTTATCTGTACAATGAGAATAGAATAATCTAACACAGAGTTGCAGTGAATATCACATACAAAACACATAGCACTGCCCCTGACTTATTTTAATTATTATTTTAATAATAGTTATTATTTAATAAAACCTTGTTGTACTACAATTACATGCAGTTCATATAATTTTAATATGAGTCAGAAAATTCTCCTCTCACTTTCCTGAAAAATCAATTGAGCAACTTAAACTCCTACATCATAAAAGGAAATCATTATTTAATTCCAGGTTGAAATTTAATTTCCTATCTGATCTGAGAGTGACACAAAGCACCAAGTTCTTTCTTCTTTTTTAAGATTACTTTTTTAGAGCACTTTTAGGTTCATAGCAAAATTAAGAAGAAAGTATAGAGATTTCCCATATATCCTCTGCCCCCACACATGCATAGCCTCCCCCATTATCATTCCCTCACCAGGGAACAAAATTCTTGGTATTCTATATGCTATGGGTTTGGCCAAATTTATACTGACATAAACCCATTTTATACCACACAGAGTATTTTCACTGTCTTAAAAATCCTCTGTGCTTCACCTATTCATCCCCAGCTCCCCAAATCTTGCCTACCAATGATCTTTTTAGTTTCTTCATAGTTTTGCCTTTACCAGAATGTTATATAGTGGAATCCCACCGTAGGTAGCCTTTTCAGTTTCTTTCACTTTATAATATGCATTTAAGTTTCCTCCACGTTTTTTCATGGCTTGATGGCTCCATTCCTTTTAGTGCTGAATAAAATTCCTTTGCATGCACAACAGTTTTATTTATCCATTCACCCACTGAAAGACATCTTGGTTGCTTCCAAGTTGTGGCAATTATAAATAAACAATTATAAATGTTTACAGCATGTTTATAGCTGCAGGCTTTTATGTGGATATATGTTTTCAACTCCTTTTGTTAAGTACCAGGGAGGGCAATAGCTGGTATGTTTAGTTTTGTAAGAAACCCCCAAATTATCTTCCAAAGTGGCTGTACCATTTCGCGTTCCTACCAGCAATGAAGGAGAGTTCCTGTTGCTTCACATCCTCACCACCATTTAGTGTTACTAATTTTGGCCATTCTAATAGGTGGTATCTCATTACTTCAATTTGCATTTTCCTGATGACATATAGTATGAAGCACCCTTTCATGTACTAATTTTCCATCTGTATATTTTTTGTGGAGTGCCTGTTAAGGTCTTTGGCCCATTTTTAAATTGGCTTGTTTTCTTATTGTTGAATTTTAAGAGTTCTTTGTATATTTTAGGTAAGTCCTTTATCAGATGTGTCTTTTGCAAACATTTTCTCCCAGTCTGTGGCTTGTCTTCTCATTTTCTCAACATTGTCTTTTGCAGAGCAGAAGTCTTAAATTTTAATGAAGTCCAGCTTATCAGGTTTTTTTTCTTGGATTGTATCTTTGTAGTTGTATCTAAAAAATCTTTGCCATATCCAATGTCATCTAAGTTTTTCTCCTATGTTATCTTCAGGGGCTTATAATTTTGTGTTTTACATTTAGGCCTGTGATCCATTTTGACTTAATTTTTGTGAGGGGTGTAATGTTCTGTGTCTAGTTTTTTGTTTTTAATTTTTGCATGTGGATATCCAGTTGTCCCAACACCATTTGCTGAAAAGACAATTTTTTGGTCTATGGTATTGCCTTTGCTGTTTTGTCAAAGACTAGTTGACTACACTTATTACAGACTTTCTATTCTGTTCCGCTGACCTGTTGGTCTATTCTTTCACCCTTAGCACACTGTCTTGATTCCTGTTTATGTCTTGAAGTCGGGTAGTATCAGTCCTCCAACTCTGTTCTTTTTCAATACTGTATTGGCCATTACACGTCTTTTGCCTCTACATATAAACTTTAGAATCATTTTGTCGATATCCACAAAATAACTTACTGGAATTGTGATTGGGATTGCATTGAAAATATATATCAAGTTGGAAAGAACTAACATTTTAATAATATTGAGTTTCCTTAATTATGAACATGGAATATGTCTCCTTTTATTTAGTTCATGATTTTGTTTATTAAAGTTTAGGTTTTCCTCATATAGATCTTGTACATATTTTATTAGATTTATATCTAAGTATTTCATTTTTGGGGATGTTAATATAAATGGTATTATGTTTTTAATTTCAAATTCCACTTGTTCATTGCTGATATGTGGGAAAGCTATTGACTTTTGTATATTAACCTTGTATTTGGCAACCTTGCTAGTCTAATTGTTTTGGTCAATTCTTTCAGATTTTCTACATGGATACCATGTTATCTGTGAAAAGGACAGTTTTATTTTTTCCTTCCTAATCTGTATACTTTCTCCCTCTTTCTTGTCTTATTGCATTAGCCAGTACTTCCGATATGATAGTGAAAAGGAGTAGTGAACCTGACATCTTTGCCTTGTTCCTGATCTTGGTAGGACACCTTTAAGTTTCTCATCATTAAGTATAATAGCTGCAGGCTTTTTGTATATATAGTCTTTATCAAGTTTAAGAACTTCCCTTCTATTTCTAGTTTACTGAAAGTTTTTATCATAAATGGGTGTTCAATTTTGTCAAATATCTTTTTCTTTTTTATATGATCATGTGATTTTTCTTTTTTAGTCATTTGATGTGATAGATGACATTAATTCACTTTTGAAAGTTGAACTGTTCTTGCATACCAGGGTAAATCTCACTTGGTTGTAGGGTGTAATTCTTTTATATAATGTTGGCTTGAATTTGTTAATATTTTGTTCCAAATTATTTTTTAACAGGTTTATTAAGGTATGATTAATATACCATACAATTTACACTTTTAAACTACACAAATTTATCATTCTTAGTGTATTCACAGAGTTGGTATAACCATATAGCCATATATATAACCATTATAGCCATAAGTCACCTTTAAAACTTTTTCATGATTCCCAAAATAAACTTTATACTCACTGGCAGTCATTCTCCATTCTCCCAACTTCCCCTACCAGCCTTCGGCAACTACTAATTAACTTTCTAGAGTTTTGTCTATTTTGGTTATTTCATTTAAATGTAACCATAAAGTATATGTTCTTTTGTGACTGTCTTCTTTCACTTAATATAATGTTTCAAGTTTCATTCAATATTTTATATTATTTTTACTGATGTATAATATTTATTCATTTTACTTATACATCTATCAGTTGATAAACATTAGAGTTACTTCCACTTTTTGGCTATATGCAATATATATATTTTGTTATATATATCCCCCCATCCCCTTTTTTAGGTAAGGACATTTAAGTTCTACTCTTTTAGCAATTATCAATTCTACAGTGCAGTGT